GCACTTGGTTGGTTTATATCTCAAGCATTCGATAAATGCAAACCGTTCTTCTAGTCCATCAAAGGAAAGGAAGGCGCAATTTGGGATTTGGAATGTATAGAGGCTTTCAGGAAGTTAAAAACCAACTTCACTGTTATGCCACTCGTAATTGCACCACTGTTTTGGACCCGATAGTCGATGCATATCCGTAGCTAACCATCTTTCTTCTTTTGGAACAATAGTTGGACTCTGTATGGCACCTTGGAGGGCTTCATGTTGCTAGAATCGAGAAGTTCGTTCAACTACCTCCTCTATTCTACCAGTTCCACATGCGATATCCAAAGGGGGCACAATCTAGAAGCTTTGAACTAGGCTCCAGCCCAATTTTGTGGTCAACTGCACATGTAAGAAGAAAGGTCTAGGGGAGTTATGGAGGTATAAGATCATCAAACTCGTCAATAATTTTTGCCCCTACATCGGGCACTTCAACCTTCACGTCAGATCTCCACCAAGATCATGTGGTATGTCATCTTACCCTTCAACAACCCTTATTTCACTTTCATAGTGGACAACATCTCCACCTATTGCTTGCCATCTCTCTTACTTTGATCTGCAACAACCACTAGGCGAACACACGTTGCCCTCTTACATAAGATTGGCATTCAATTGAAATGTTGCATCAATGCCAACTGCGCCTTGATAAAGAACTCATTCCTGAGCATGACTTCAAATTCATCAAATGCTACAACCATTAATTACAACCACCAAAAAATTTTAAGAATGTTTAAAGGTTAACAAGAATGACAGCTGCACTTGGTAGGTTTATATCCCAAGCGTCCGATAAATGCAAACTATTCTTCCAGTCCTTTAAAAGAGAGGAAGGCGCAATTTGGGATTCGGATTGTAAAGAGGCCTTCATGAAGTTGAAAACCTACTTAGCCGCTCTGCCACTTGTAACTACACCATTGTTTAGGACCCAAAAGTTGATGCATATCCGCAGCTAACCATCTTGCTTCTTTTGGAACAACAGTGGGACTCTGCATCGCACCTTGGAGGTCTTCAGGTTGCTAGAATCGTGCAGTTCATTCAAATACCTCCTCGAATATACGAGCTCCACATGCGACTTCCAAAGGGTGCACAATCTAGAAGCTTTGAACTAGGGTCCTGCCTAATTTTGTGGTCAACTACACGTATAAATAGAAGGGTCTTGGGGAGTTTAGGAGGTATAGGAGCATCAAATTCCTCTATAATTTTTGCCCAAACATCGGGCACTTCAGCCTTCACGTTAGATCTCGATGAAGATCATAAAGTATGTCATCTCACGCTTCTGCAACCCATATTTCACTTGCTAAGTGAACAAGATCACCACCTTTTGCTAGCCACCCCTCTTACTATGAGATGCCACAACCACAAGGAGAACGCTTGTTGCCCCCTCACCTAAGATTGGCATTCCATTCAAATGTTGCATCCATGCCAACTTTGCCTTGATAAACAACTCATTCCAGAGCATGGCTTAAACTTTGTCCAAGGTTACAACCATCCATTACAACCACCAAAAAATTTTAAGAATGTTGAAAGGTTAACAAGAATGACAGCCGCACTTGGTTGGTTTATATCTCAAGCATTCGATAAATGCAAACCGTTCTTCTAGTCCATCAAAGGAAAGGAAGGCGCAATTTGGGATTTGGAATGTATAGAGGCTTTCAGGAAGTTAAAAACCAACTTCACTGTTATGCCACTCGTAATTGCACCACTGTTTTGGACCCGATAGTCGATGCATATCCGTAGCTAACCATCTTTCTTCTTTTGGAACAATAGTTGGACTCTGCATGGCACCTTGGAGGGCTTCATGTTGCTAGAATCGAGAAGTTCGTTCAACTACCTCCTCTATTCTACCCGTTCCACATGCGATATCCAAAGGGGGCACAAACTAGAAGCTTTGAACTAGGCTCCAGCCCAATTTTGTGGTCAACTGCACATGTAAGAAGAAAGGTCTAGGGGAGTTATGGAGGTATAAGATCATCAAACTCGTCAATAATTTTTGCCCCTACATCGGGCACTTCAACCTTCACGTCAGATCTCCACCAAGATCATGTGGTATGTCATCTTAC